AAACATGTTTTCATATATCTGATTCTTTTTTGGTGCATTCCGGACTGTTTTCTAATTAAATCTCTACTTTTTTATACTTAAGAAGCTGTAATACTTTTGATTTTTTCGTTTTGCACTGGTGCTAATGTGCTGCCTTTTAATCATTTAGGTGTAAATATGCAGTAGCTTATGTACTGTACATTTCCTTTTCTTTCTTTTAGAAGGGGGTTCTCTTTTTTTTAGCCTATTTGGTCAGAAAAAAGACAACAATAGCACGTCAGACTTTTTATGAGTAAAGTAGTGGATTAATGTTTAAAGATGATGAGAATAAGGAAAGATGGAAGCCATGTGAACTTCTTTTCTTGTGTCGAGGCTTTATGCATAGGTATGCCCCAGACTAGTATTGCACTAGTTTGCTTTAAATTAGGTTTGGAAATGAACCTAACTTTATTTGTTAATGAACTCTTAATCTCTAATAGTATGCTTTGAGATGTCGTTGTCTATTCTGCTTGGGTGCTTACACTGGGGTTATCAATTGAAGAGCTTATCTTATCTGCTATGGTTGACTTGCTTGTTTTAAGGAATGTCGCCGCCCACCACCAGTCATGAATGTATTGAGAAACAACCAATGAGAGTTTTACGAAGGTATTTTCGAAGAAAGAGCAAAATAATAACAATTTTTACCATGCTCTAGGTTAATAAGAACTCAAAACTAAATTCGTTTTAAGCAGATGCATAAAAGAAAAGCATTGTGGTCAAATAAAATATCTAATGGGATATGGACAAGTAAGAAAAAATTAGATTAATGTAAACGAATTTGATATTCACGAAGGTTAAAAAATGTTGAATAATTTGAATAGAAGCATTGAAAATCCTACATTTCATAGTAGTTGGGATACTCGTAGTCAAGATAATTATAGAGGAGAACTATGTATAGAGGAGAACTATGTTTTAAGTACAACAACAACAACAACAAACCTTTATCCCACTAAGTGGGATCAACTACATGAATCCTTTCTCTCAATTGCATCCTATTGAGTGTCATACTTTAATTTAATTCTAATAAATTAAGATCCTTTTTTACACAATATGCCCAAGTCTTTCTAGATCTTCATCTGCTTTCTTAACATAAGACGAATCTAAAACATCTACTCTCCTAATCGGATCATCAACTGGTTGATGTTTGATGTGACCAAACCATCTAGAATGACTCTTTCTTATTTTGTCCGCCAGTAGAGCTGCACCAACCCTATCACGGATATATTCATTTCACATTTTGTCTCTAAGTGTAAAGCCACTCATCCACCTAAGCATTCTCGTCTCGGCAACACTTAACTTAGTTTTATGCTTCTCTTGTAAAGGCCGTCATTCAATGCCATAGAGCATTGCAGGTCTCACTGCCATCTTATAAAATTTTCCTTTCAATCTAAGCGGTACTTTTCTATCACACAATAGGCCCAAAGCATTCCTCCACTTCAACCAACCAACTTGAATTCTACTAATAACATCCCCATCTATATCACCATCACTTTGAACAATAGACCCGAGATATTTAAAGCATTCACACCTTTTAATATTTTGATCACCCCATAGTTACAACTCAGTCACTAGAGCTACTACTACTAAAATTACATTTCATGTAGTCAGTTTTAGTTCTACTCAAACAAAGGCCTTTAAACTCCAATGTAGACCTCCATAATTCAAGTTTTTCTTGGGCATTCTCTCTAGTCTTATCCACGAGAAGGATATCATCAGCGAAAAGCATACACCAAGGTACATCCTCCTGTAAATGTAGAGTAAGAGCATCCATAACTAAATCAAAAAGATATGAGCTTAAAGCCGACCCCTGATATAATCCAACTGAAATAGGAAAATATTTGGTCAACCCTCATCTTGTTTAAACACAAGTAAAAACTCTAGTATACATATCTTTAATGACTTGAATATAAGTCATATCAACACCTTTCTTCTCTAGAACTCTTCA